TTAAAGATTAAATGCTAAAATTATCTTACCTCAGTGGGAAATTCAACCGGCTTTGCTGATTCAAGGAAAAAAGGTTCAGTGTTATCAGAATAAAGATGTAAACCACCTAAAAGAAACTAAGCATTTCAATGAAAATACGGATAAAGGGAATAAAATTACTAGATTGATTTAGGAATTTATTATTTTTATAAACTGCATAACAAATACAGGAAGCTGACAGGCTAAAATTTTGTTTCAATATACAAGCCTTGAGGATGGAAAGAAGAAAGTGGTTAACCATCGTGATGTCTGTCTTTTTGCACTTCCTTGATGAGTAACAGTTGTAATACTTCTTTCTCGAAGCATGTGGTTCAGCGCTGATATCCGTTTTTGACCACTGCTGAAGGCAATATCTAGAGCTCAGTGGTCATGATTACATGTAGCATGCCACACCTTTCCGCGTTCATTTATTTACATGGGAAGGATAGAAAACAAATGAACCAGTCGAAATTAAAAGTCTTGACCTTTGTCAATGTTGGTGAAGTGCTCTACAGAGTGAGATATCTTGACTTCCCGATGAACATGAATTCGTCAGTACTGTAGCAAGCCAGAAGAGGCCGTATGTTTCACAGGAATTTCGTTTAGTGGACTGAACTTGCGAACAACAGCCAAAAATCCCATGTGTAATTAACTGCCCAGCAGATGGAAGGTGACATTGGTGACGAAACCTCATAATCTCGCTGAAACCGCAAGCTGACTCACTCTCTTCAAACGAAGAACAGTATACAAGGGTCAGCCTGTCGTCTAATATGCATAAATTTACATGCTTGCGGTTATGTGAAATAAAGCGTAAATGCAAAAACTAGTGACATAACATCTTGATATGTTTGACCATTATAGGGTCGCTAAGGAACAGATTTCTTCATCAGGACCGCGCAGGGAGTCACACTGTGGCTGCAACTAACGTGAATCTCTGCATGACGATAACCAACCATATTTTCGTGACAGCTTTGCAGTTAAAAGGTCTGGCAGTCGTCTGGTCCCTTAAACTTTAATCTAGAGTTTGGCTTTACAATTGAGCATGTATTAGATTCCACGTGTTACTCTGTCATACGCAATAAAAACTGAATTACACAAAAACATCGATGATGAAAAATTTGTAGTGGAAACGGGCTATCAAGAAGTTGGAGATCACATCGCGTACCTTAAGCGTTCCCTCCAAACTATGTAGTCTATCATCCTTCAGTTAAATGTTTTATTACCATTTAGGCCAAAGGTAATTTTACAATATTCCTGGTTCGTGCAAACTTAAACCTTAAACTGGATCCTAAACCTTAAACACTTTTGCTACAAAAAGCGCTTGCGGCATAGAGTGGCAGAAGGGACAATTTTTCACTAATCTTTCACAGATCTTTCTCTAATCGTTAAAAGTCTGTATCATGATCAATGTCTGTAGTCCTGCGATTCCTGCATGAGAATCTTACTGAGATAGCTAAATGGTTCTAAGGTCAGCCAGTATGTCAAGAGTGTCACCCTTCGCTTCTTAATTCCAGCTTACCTTAGGAGGTGCGTAGATGAAAGAAAACTGAATAATTTTATACATGGTCCACTAGTTTAATCGATTTTGCATCAAAAGCAGCGCTGGCTTATGCTGTTCAATCGCTGGTTATAGTCCTTTGCTAGAATAACAATCTTTGTGTAATTTGCAACAGTGATTTGACTAAGTCAAGATATGCGGGGTTTTGCAGGAACCCGATCACTTTTACAGAAAATGTTGGATAGGCCACCGAAACGTATTAAAGGCAAAAACAGTATTTCTACTGAACTGCAACTGGCCGCTACCGTTGCTGGAACTTATGGCAGAGAGATGCATTGCTACTTCTACCTCAGCTAGCCGGTTACAAAAATGCAAAGGTGCGCCTCGGGTAGCGTCATCTGATCATCAGCATTTTGTTATCCAGTGTCTATATAACAGAATTCTTGATCAACATATTTTTCGATATGTTTCAATCGTATACTGTTAAACTAGGCCACTATTCATGACTAATTCTCAATCCTGCAACAATAGCCTCTGTCAATCTAATGAGCACAACTAACCTGAACCGTCGCCAAATGCAGCACACTGAAAATTAGGCGAAACATCGAAGGCAAGACAAGCAGTTCTTTGAGTATCTAGCTGATACGAATATCCACACTTGAGGTCGTTCAAGTCGATTGACATAAACTGTCCATACTATAAATATGATCAGTCCAAATATAACATAATCTTAGAAAATGAAACGAATTTAATACCTGTGAAACAGCAATGATGCAGCTTTCTGAATTGAAAAATCGCACGAAGTAAGGTTCAAACGTTAACGGTACTGCCTTAATAATTTGGAAGTTTCGCAAATCGTATGTATTTATGAAGAGGTCGCATGACAGCCGTCCATTTCTTAAAACTATTACATCAAAATAAAGCAAAGTTAACAGAGACGAAAATCAGTTAATTTCAAGATGCTTGTTGAAGTGAAACACGTCAGCCTTAATATCAAGCGCCGTATTAAACAATAATTTCCAGGACGACTGACTACCTGCACTGGTTCACTATACTCAATGTAACAGTACGCAAACATTGG